TCATGTTGATTTTGAAGTCCTATGAGTGTGTTCTTCACTTTGGCTGCGATCATCAAACTTGATAATCTCAGCCAATTTAATGCTTTCCCATAGGAAAGCATTGGGTGGCTATTGTGCATGTGTGACAAAAGGCTGCGCTGCCAATCGGCTTATCCATGGGCAGCATTCAGCGCCTCCAATCTAACACACTGCTCCTCTTCCCTCCACTCTAATTGCATACACTGCCTCTCCCAATATTCTTATTTAAAACACTGCCCCCTCCCTTCCCCAAATTATTACACCGCCCCTCCTCCCCAAATTTAATAAACTGGCCCCTCCCTTCCCCCATTTAATACAATGCCCCCCTCTCCAATTTGACACACTACACAGGAAGGTCCCTCTTCTCCTACCTTAAGATGAGTGACTCATCCTCCATTTCTAGCCCTGCTCTTCTCTGCTCAAGCAGGCCAGACACTCCTCTGACACTGCGAGCAGGAGGGAAGGGGGAGTGGCTGGCCTGCGGGAGCATGCGATCGTCCGTGGGAGGGAAAAATAGAATCAGACAGGAAATATCTTTGCAGCCACAACACAAAGTGGCCCCAGGGCAGGTGGGCCGCAAGTTTGACTTGCTTGATGTACGACATATAGGAAAATAAAACGTGGGAGAGTAAAACATGACACAACTCCCCATTAATCGATGCAAATTAAAAAATGTACTGCCTATCTCGTCTGAGAAAGTCACTCTTGGTCATAGCAATTCCAAGACGTCCCGTTGTGCATTAATTCTGAACAAAATAGAAGAAACGCTGGTTGGGGGATGGAGGCTGACGGGTCCGCTAATGAAGCAAAATGAATTATCTAAAAGATATCCTGTAAAGTAAAGCTTGTTATTTGGTAGTTAATGTATAGATTAACATTGGTCGTGCTCCCTCCAGCCTATCCTGGGCAATGTGTATACATTGCTAAATGCAGATCCCCAGCTACAAATTCCATGATGTTATTCCATCCTTAGGCCAACACAATGTATGGACTTAATTTGTATTGGCCTTTAAGGGATATCCTGTAACTTGTATATTATAGGTACACTTCAATTGGCTCAAGTTCAGTCAGACAGCCCCCATTCAACCACAACGCAAAAACAGATCACATAAATAAATTATAGTTCATCTGTTTGCTGCTCCAGGTGACAGCGATGCTGAAGATACCACTATCGATGACCTGTCTTCTCCTGGTTCAGAAGATGACCAGAATGACCGAGAATCTGATAATGAACCAGGGGTCAGCAACACTCAGAAAACGAACAAAAAAACTGGCGCGTTGGTGAGATGTCATTTATTGTTTAACTGGTGTTGGACAAATCTAAACACGAGCCACACATTGTTTTTTAATTTTTTTATTTCCTTTTAGTCACAGGCTTCTTTGGACTCACAACTGGATTCTGGGCTTTATATTTGCCCTCTGTGTCAGATAGACTGTGAAAGCCAGGAGCAGCTCGTCACTCATGTATATCAGGTATACAGTGTTTAAGTAATCAAGTAGGCAAGTGTGTTTGTGTCACAGTATACCACAAGCATGCCAGGTTTTAAAGGCTTTTTCCCCCCCAATCTTTATCCACATGAAATAATTTTGGGAAACCTGGGCAATTCACAGTAATTATCTGAGCACGAATTAAATAAAGATTGAAAGTATGTCCCTTTAGGCAGTCAGTCGGCAGATTTGCTGTTATCTGCTGCCAAAATGTAATTTAAACTGCATTTAGATTTCAGGGTGAGGATATTAGAACTACAAAAGGAATTGGTGAGCGGTATTAATCTTACGACATGTGCAACCAAACTACTTTTTAATTTGCGCGCTACTTTTCCTATTGGAAAATAGTCCTCCGGTTTTAGGAGAAATTAAGGTTGGATAATTGAGTGAGAGCGTGACTTCCCCAAACCAGTCTACAGCTGACCATCTCTGGGAGCTAGAGACTTCACGCTAACACAACCCTCCTCCCAATAGATGCTGCTGTCATTTCACCACATTCAGCAGCAACATAAACTGAACAGTACATCTGAAGTGATTTACAGTAACATTGTAATAAAAAAAGTCCCCTTCTGTATTCATTTATTTATATTGAAATTTTTGAATAAATTCTTTGTCTATTTTGGTGTACCTCTGGTAGCACTGTCCGTTATTTGACCCAATGCTCACTATTTTGCAACTTGCTTTTCAATATATGTACTCCTTACTTTATGCAACTTTGGAAAGCAACAGACCGTTGTATAATATGATTATGGCTGTTCGTAAATGGGTGTGGCAAAGGCAGGCAAGTGATTTCAAAAATGTCAACATGCATAAGAAGAAAAAAAAGATGGCATGTTTCGAACATATAACAAAATTGTCGGTGATCCTTAAAAAAATGCGGCAATGTTTTTGTAACCTTTATTTCTGTGTCTCTTTCAGCACACAACTGCTGTAGTGAGCGCTAAAAGCTATCTCTGCCCAGTGTGTGGACGAGCACTCAGCTCACCTGGGTCACTAGGTCGCCACCTTCTAATCCATTCAGAGGATCAACTGTCAAACTGTGCTGTGTGTGGCGCTCAATTCACCAGCCATTCCACGTTTAACAGGTGAGAGCAGAATCCATTTACTCCTTTCAGACTGCTTGATTGACAACCACCACTAACTACATAGAATTTATATTGTGATTTATTTATTTTAGTGAGAAACTACCAGAGGTCGTGTCACCAGATTCTTGGAACCAAGACAACCATGAAGGAGATAGCAGTGAGGGTAAAGGTCTGGATTTTGAAGCTGTATACCCAGCAGGTATCTTACTTGTTTGCAACAACTGTGCGGCATACAGAAAACTGATGACTGATCAGATGTCTTCAGGCCGCAAGTGGGCATCACGCAGACAGAATGAGCCTGTGGAGGCAAGAATGCAGCGGCTGGAGCGTGAACGGACAGCAAAGAAAAGCAGGCGTGATAGTGAAACCCCAGAGGAGCGAGAGATGAGGCGAATGCGAGACAGAGAGGCCAAGCGACAGCAGAGAATGCAGGAAACTGATGAGCAACGCGCAAGGCGTTTGCAACGTGATCGTGAAGCTATGCGCACGAAGAGGGCCAACGAAACCCCAGAGAAGCGGCAAGCAAGACTCGTCCGAGAGAGAGAGGCAAAGCGGCTGAAGCGACGTTTGGAGAAGATGGACATGATGTTGCGGGCACAATTTGGGCAGGATCCTACCGCCATGGCAGCCTTAGCAGCCGAAATGAACTTTTTTCAACTTCCTGTAGGGAACTCTGATCTGGATCAGCAACTTCTAGGAAAGATGGCACTCGAAGAGCAAAGCAATGGTGCTTTGCATTGATCTATACTTGGCAGTGTTTTTGATTTGTTTTCGTGGCAGGCAGACATTGTTGCTTGGACACACATTCATTTCCTTCCTCAGAAAGTGATATTCTGATAACTCCCCCCATCACTCTGTACATTGGTAGGAATGAACTGGAACAATCCACATATTTCAAGGGTTGCTTTTTACATTGATACAATTCCTCAGGATTACGAAGCTGCTGGAAAAATAAGAGTGGTCAGCATTTCAAGTACACACTCTTTCTCTGAACTCACACATCAGTGTTGTGGTATTTTTATCTTTTTTTGCCATGCATGCTTGACTTTGCAAGGTGTGAAAAACACAGTAGAAGTTAATCAAGTTGGAGCCCCTTCCCCAAAAATGATGCAGCTATAAGACTGTCTTTAAACAGGGTATGAAATGGAAATTCTGAATTTACTCAAATGACTTCTTTTGTGCTGTGAATGAGTTGTATGTGTGTAGTAACTTTTTTTTATTATTTTATTTATGTGTGGGTGCAGAATTATCTTAATAGTATCAGTGTACAAAAATGTATGTGGAACCAATAAATTATTTTACTATGGGGAGGTCCTCTTGTTTGACACCTCTTACATGTAGTGGGTAATTAAATATATATGAGCGAGGTCTGTCATTGGGAACTGAAGTTTGTTTGGCCGCAATCACTAGACCAATTTCACCATAATCTGTATTTCGGGAACATAGGTTCCCATGTATCCACCCCCCTTTGGCAGTAAAAATCTGAAAGTTAACAGATTACTCACCTCCTATCCAGCGCCAGGACTCTGCTGCTGCAGAGTCCATGGATTAGGAATGCACGGCCAAACACCACTCTCCAGTCAAATACTGCTTTGAGCAACATTTAGTTTCAGTAAGGATTACGTTTTCCACTCACAACTAGCCATTGGCAAGTAGAGATTTAACCTTACTTAATATGCTATGACTTGCAGTGGCAAGTAACTTTGAAAGTCTGGCTAGTAACATAGGACTTAAAATGTTATATTCCAGGAGGAGGAAATGCCTCTAGTGGCTGTCAATATGACAGCCACTGGAAAGTATTTAACCCTGCAATGAAAAGATTGCAATATCTGTTGCAAGGTTAAGCTTATAGAGCCACTGATTTAGCCATGGTTTAGTTTGACACTGACCGCTCCACAGAACCTATGGAATGTTGAGCTGGAATATTGTAATGATTTTGACCATAAAAAGTAATTATGATTTAAAGGAACATTATATCATTAGGAATATAAACCTGTATTCCTAACTATGTTAAAGGGACACTTCAGACCCCTAAAGTACTTTTGCTGTGTGAAAAGTGTGTCCTATTTTTTTTTTTTCCTTTTTGGAAAAACTGCAGATTTCAACAGAGGTTGACACTTTTATAAATTAATGTTTACACCCCCTTGGTTGTCATGAAGACAGCAGTTCCTGTTACTTCCTGGTTTGTTTAGCTCAGTGGAACTAAACCTGAGGCAGCAACTGCCCAGAGCACTTGCCTTGTAAAGACTTCTCATTGAGCTCCATTGGGAAATCTATGATTGGACAGTCACAAAAAGTCTGGACGGGGTTAGAAGGGAGGAGGGTTGCCGAGGCTGCAAGTTGTTTTTTTTTTTTATTCTTTATTTTTGCACTGATAGACAAGCAATGACATGATAATGCAGACTTAGGCAAGGCTGTAACAGTATAATGTTGGTTTATGGTTACAGAAGGCAAAGAGGCTGCAAGTTTTGCAGCTACTTTTAGACATACCCCCAATGAAAAAAAATGCGTAATTAGATGCATGCAAGTTTTTATTTGGGGCATATCTACTCAAGTGATTTTTATTTTGTATTTGAGCAGTAGAGTGTCCTTTTACTCTACCTATTTAGATTATCCTCTCCCCATGTAAAAGTAAAAAAGTTGTACGTGACTTTCCCCAGTTGCACTACAGTAAGCTGTAAGGGTTACTCAAATAATAATAATATAGCTATAACCTACCTCTGATCTATGGCCAAGTTCTCCCTGTATCCGGGAAGTTGGGCAGAGAGGATGGCACGGTGGAACATTGGACTAGCAGGCATGCATGTTAACACCAATATGCACAGAATTCAAATTATCCATCCCAAACGCTCTGGCAGCAAACACTGTAAATACATACTCATGAAGTAGTCATGGTGCTTTGAGTAACACTAACAGCTCACTGTAGTGGTTATGGTGCTTAATGTCTTGCCAATTATGAATCAGTGACTGCTGATGTTCATTTACTTGGCACACACACAAAAACATTTTTAACTTTTTTTATAGGCCTTTTGGGACATTGTTTTAAAACAGACTTAGTATGATTTTGGTATAACTATAAAACATGTTTGGGTGGATGCAAAAAGACTGAGCAGGTATACAGTACAAATTGATTTATTTAAAACAGTTACAAAAAAAGCACAACAAAATATAGATTAATGCTCTGTTAAAGATCAGGTAGCATATTTGAATAAAAGCACCTGCCTAATTCTAAGGCTGCTTTAAGATGCATAATAGATTATCAGTTAATATGTAAAACTTGTACATTGGATATTAAATGTGATGGGCTCCACCCGCCTCTGAGAAACTGAATGCACTATCCCTGTGGAATATGTACCTTCTCCTTGGACACTATACCTTTAACACTGGTTTTTGGCAGTACATCTTTACTGCTCATCTTATTCCCTGTGCTTGTTTAAAATACAGGACACTTCGCGGCGGAAGCGTTGCACACACCAAATTCTATCTAAAACCTCCGTCAGTTCCTGGATCTCCATGTCAATGGTCAGTTAGCTTTGGAGGAAAAAAAAATCCATAGGCAAATCTAGCAAAAATGGATGAGCTTCAAATATAATCACCTACTCATTCAGCTCACGTTTTAACAGGAAACCAGTAAAAGCAGACGTTTAATGTAGTGTCCTGGATTGGGTAGAGGAAAGTAGTTTAATCAAATCAGAATGTATGCAAGTGCCTTCTAAAGCCGGTTTGGCAGTGTAGAAAGATGGCAAAAAAAAAACAAAATACACACCAAATTGATTAGAGATCTGAGATCAATATATATACACATTATACAACATAACGTGTCTCTACAGGTAAAGCTTTTAGTCAGCATCATAAAAGGTGCAGGCGAGCAACATGCTACAAGAGATAGAATGCACAGATGAACATCTGTATTATTGCACTGTGGGTGTGTTTGGGGATTATCAGGAAACCTGTTACACCAAAACAGGGCAGTCAACCAGGAATGTTAACATGGTGCGTAGTTCCCACTGAATGGTTTAGATGTGTACCACTGCATCAGAGACAGCACTATTCAATAAGGAACACAGCGTTCGGTATCGAGACAGCTATGGTGTGCCTGTTACCTTTAGCTTTACAAAAGCAAAAAGGAAGGGACACATTACTCTTTCAGATAAAATAAAATAAAACTATGCTAGGGTCATAAGCTGATTCAGTGAAACCATCTCCGCACCTGTAAGCCTACTGATCTTCAAATGCAAAAGCCATGTTTCAATGCCTTCATCCCCCACCAGCAATGACAAATATACTGATTGGCATATTATGGGAACAAAAAAATAAACCACACCACAAGAGGGTTAAGTTCGTTTAGACGATTAATAGAGGAAAAACAACATATTGCAAATTTTTTTTTTTTTTTTTTTACTGAAGGCGCTGGGAGTTTAAGTCTGCTTTTTTGCCATAGATAGTTGCCCCACGCTTCATTCCTCTCTTGAGCAGCAGGGACCTCTCCACGGTCTTACTAATTATACCTGTACTCTTAACTGTGCAAAATAATTTCCTCCTGAGGGATGGGGTTTATTTCCCAGCATTTGATCTCCCCTCAATAGATAGCTTCACCTCTTGAGGGATGAAAGAGTGCCGAGAAGGCGAAGGTCGGGGGTCTGGACTCTGCCCACTGTATCTTTGGACTCCTGGACTTGACCAGCTTGATTGGGCTGTAGGAAGAGTCCGCACATGGGAAGTCTGTGTCGAGCCCTCTGTCTGAAGTGGGCTCTGTGTTCCACTCTCTCTTTCTGTCAGGGATGGTCTATCTCTAGACTGTAACATTGCTCTCTCATTAGGGCGAGATATAGACTGACTTGTAGGGGTACAACTTGAGGAAGATGCCCCATTTTTACTTACACTCTGCAAGCTTATTGATATACAAACATCTCCCACCTGGAGCCGGTGACAGGGAAGTGCAAAAAGGTGAGCAGTCTGTCTGGGGTTGCAGGAAGACCAGCCTTGTCCATACACAAAGAAAGGATGTTCAGGAGGTACATCAAGACACACTTTGCTCTGCTGCTCTCCCACTGCAAAATGGAGAGTCACAAATCCTGACCACTGACTTTCCTGGATGTCCACCACTGTGCTTGAGTCAATTTTAAGACCACCACTGACCTCTGCACTACGCACAAAGTCTTGGGTCTGTAGGTCTTCCACTCTCTTCAATTCACCTGTGGCCAGCTGGATAATCGCTCCTTTCATAAAATGTGAGGGTAAAGCATTGGAATGTGTTGGCTGTGAAGGGGCTACATTTGTATGTGGGGTCCTTCTGTCTGAATGAGTGTCACTAAGGGGTAACTCAGGAGATTTAGCTCCTTGAGTTTTAGATCCATGCTGGAGAGTTCCTGGATGTAGGCTTGATGCAGAACAGACTGTAGTTGGAGTGGCTTCCCCATTTACGATCACTACAGATTTCTCAGTGTATTTGAGAATATGCTGTTTTGAGTACATTACCCTATGCTGTTCCCTCTCTGGCATTGGGCTGGCCAAATTTCCATGGGTGTGAGCATCTCTTGGCACCTCCCTTTGCTCATTGGTGTTGTGAGACAGATTTAACGGACTCTGCATTTCCTTTCTCTGAACAGGTGTAGTACCAAAGTCTTGTGAAGCAAAACCACCAACAACCCGCTGAACTTCTAAATCTGTGTCAGGTGTGCTCCTGTGAGTCAGTAAAGCCACTTCTGTCCTTTGAGTAGAATGTCCTGAGTAGACATCACAGTTTACCAAATGGTCGGCTGATCTTCTTGCAAGCTGTTCCTCTGTGTTATGAATAACCTGGCTGCCTCTCCTTCCAGAGGCATTGTCTGCAGCTCTTTGGGACCCATTGGTAGAAGTGATTAATGCCTCTCTCTCTTTGTTGTGGTCAGAGGCAGGACTTGGGGACTGGTTTGAAGGACATGCCAGAAGCATCTCATGCACAGGATAAGCTGGTAATTGAGAAGAATGTTGATAAAATACAGGGACTCTACCTTTTCCAACATCAACAGGCACAACACCCATGAGCACTGAGGGAGACGGTGCTGTGGTTTTGTTGAAAGAATGTGGGGATGGAGCTTGAGGAGGTGGTGTAACCCCCTCTGTGAGGATGGAGTTATATGGCACATAGTGAGGTACATGAGAGGCAGCCAATGTAACAGGGGGAGATATAACAGCACGTTGAAGGAAGCTCGGAGAAACGGCATATGGAACTGCATAGGGTGATCCAAGAAACTGTACTGGAGTGTGGGAAATTGGGGCATAATGAATAGGTGGGTAAGTAATGCCTGGGTGCTGTATTAAAGGAGAAGCTACATTAAAAGATGGCTGAATAGAACCCATATTCACCACAGGGTGGAGTCCAGGTGGGGAAAATGCAGCAGAAGGCACCGCTAATTTGTAAAGATTCCCGTACTGATCCACTGTAACTGTCTCTGCCCCCTCACCAGCCACTTCGTATCTAACCCCATGTCCTTGCCCTGCTGCTACCAGCACTCCTCTGGGCCAAGCTGATGCATCAGTAGAGGGGGTGTCATTGGTTGATGTAGTTTCTACCCGGGGTGGCTCTTCCATACTCACACTGTTCTGCAAGAGCTCCCGTTTCTTTGGCGGAAGACATTCCTGACTTCTTTCATGTGCAGGCTTCATGTTACTTCCTGCTGTCAGTGAGACGTTTATAAATTTCTATAGGCTTCATGGATGTCAGGCAAGAATGATCGATGATGGTGCCACATGCATCCAGTGGGCATCTTGTAAGTCTAAGATCTGTGGGCAAAAGAATATGATCAAAGTAAGTTTCTAGGATATAGAATGTTAATATGGCTGTGAAGGCTAACATCTATTCACAAATGTGGAGTGACAGTAATTTAGTGTACAAATATACAACCACCAGCATTAAGCAGCCCAAATAAAGACTCACTGGCGAAGGTCCATGACATTGTTTATACCAGAGATACAAGGCGCACAATTAAATTCAAACAGTTATGGTATCTGTAACTCTGTATGTTTAGAAATTAGAAAGGTACTTAAGCATCTGGGGTGCCACAGTTACCATCAGTGAATTCATATTAACATTTCAGTATGAATAATGTGCAATGTCCATACAGCCGTCACGTGAAGTAAAAATATATACAGTGGTTTCCTCTGAATGGGGACCATTTAAGCAATTGTATAACTCAAGAAGGAAATAGACAGACCTTAACCCCTTAAGGACCAAACTTCTGGAATAAAAGGGAATCATGACATGTCACACGTCATGTGTCCTTAAGGGGTTAAAGGAACACTATAGTGTTGGGAATACAAACGTATTCCTGACACCATAGTGCTGAAGTGGTTGTTTAAGTGACTGGCCCCCTCTCTGTGGAGATTAAAGGTGATTTCATGAACCTTTTCTCCCACGTTGCATCTGTCTCACCGCAGCTGGCTTAAACTCCATGGCTGAGATCAACAATCTTGATGATCTCAGCCAATCCAATGCTTTCTCATAGGAAAGCATTGGGAGGATACTGCACATGCGCAGTAAAATGCCACACTGCACCAATCATTATCTCTACATAGAGATGCGTACATTAATGCATCTCTATGTGAAAAGTTCAGCGTCTCGATGAAGAGTAGCACTGGACTAGGAAGCACCTTTAGTATCCATCTGAGTGACTGCCACTAGAGGTGTTACTAGCTATCAATTTTCTCCGAAAAGGCAGTGTTTACAATGCCAACATTGCAGGGACATGCTAAGACACAAGAACCACTATATCATGCTGTAATGGTTCTGGTGACTATAGTGCTCCTTTAAGGTCACAACATTAAAACCAAATTATCATGTAGGTCCCCCTGGTGCTGCCAAAACAGCTCTGATGTGTCGAGGCATGGATTCCACAAGACTTCTGAACATGTCCTGTGGTATCTGGCACCAAGATATTAGCTGCAGATCCTTTAACTCCAGCAACTTGTGTTGTGGAGCTTGCATGGATCGGATTTGTTGGTCCAGCACATCACACCGATGTTCAATCGGATTAAAGGACCACTATAGTGCCAGGAAAACGCTATAGTGTTAACAGGTCCCCCCCACCCTCAGGGTACCCCTCCTGCCGGGCTCTAGGGGGAGGAAGGGGTTAAACGCTTACCTGTCTCCAGTGCTGGGGACTCTCCTCCCTCTTCTGCCGAATGCGCAGCAAGAGCTGCGCACGCATTCAGTAAGTCCATAGGAAAGCAATCTCAATGCTTTCCTATGGACGCTGACGTCTTCTCACTGTGAAAATCACAGTGAGAAGCGCGGAAGCGCCTCTAGCGGCTGTCAATGAGACAGCCACTAGAGGCTGGATTAACACTAATGTAAACATAACGGTTTCTCTGAAACTGCTATGTTTACAGCAGGCAGGGTTAACCCTAAATGGACCTGGCACCCAGATCACTTCACTGAGCTGAAGTGGTCGGGGTGCCTAAAGTGGTCCTTTAACATTGGGCCCCAGATGCAGCAAACTGTGATACACTGTGTGTTGATACCTTTCTATGATGGTCAGCATTAAGCTTTTCAGCAATTTGAGCTACAAAAGCTCTTCTGTATAAAATATAAACTGACCAGGTGGGCTAATCATCAATGTGCACCCATGACTCTGACACTGGTTCACCGGTGGCCCTTCCTTGCTACACTTGTGGTAGGTGCTAACCACTGTATACCTGGAAAACCCAATAAGACTTGCCATTTTGGGGCTGCTCTGATCCAGTTAGAGGTAAATTTAAAAAATATATAAGTACATTCAAAAATAAATAAAAATGGTGAATGTTTGTCTGCAAGCGAGTGCGTGTATATTTGTTTAGGTTACTGGCCCCCTCCGACCACAAGGAAAAAGTGTTTTTACTCAGCATCATTCCCACATAGTGCCGGTCTTGCCGCGATTGGCACCACCTCCATGGCCGAGATAAATCGGAAAGCACTGGGAGAATATTGCATATGTGCTGCAAAACACTGTGTTTCTATGCTGAACTTTATCAGGAAGAACCTGTAGTGGCTGACTGAGTGACTTCCACTCGGTGTTACTGGGCAGCAATGTACTGAAAAGCCTGCCGGGACATAAGCTGTAGTGGGTCTGGTGACTATAGTGTCTCTTTGGGAATTGTAATTGTATTTTTGGCATAAAGCTTTGTTTAAAAAAAAAAATTATATATATATATATATATCCATGTTATTGACTTTACCTGTCAGTGGCTTTAATGTTGTGACTGATCAGTGTGTGTGTGTGTCTATCTGTATTTGAATTGAAAGTCTGCATGGATTTGTTTTTGTAACAAGTTTCATAGTTGAGATTTTTAATGCTGCTTATAAAACAATCTTTGTGTTAATTCCTTTAAAACACAAAAATTATATGAAATATATCTGATGACTTCACTCATGAATAAATAACAATTAACGTTAAGTCATCTATGGATTACAATGGCAACAATACAAAACTCAGACTGTAATAAGCTTACTTGCAGAGTGCATATATATATTATATATATATATATATATATATATATATATATATATATATATATATATATATATATATATATATATAAAAATCCTCTTTTACACCTCCTCCAGCGTTTAGGACTATACCTTGTCCCTCAGGTCTGGCCTAGCACCACAGATCAACGACACAAACAGTATCATGCTGTGTAAGGATGATTTGCCTAATATTCTTCCTTGGCCTCTTTCCCCTGGACACTTGGCTGTGTTAGTTCAGTTACAGAGTACAACGTCTCTGCTCCCCCTTTATCCTCAAATCTCACAACCTCTTCATTTTACTCTCTTCTCCTACACATACACATTCTCTGCATTACCCAAACATTAAAGCCAGTTTGCTGGTTTACCACAGATCTTATGTGTCTTCGCATTCTGACTCAAACAAGAAACCTGGTTTGAGTCACAAGCTCATTTCACTTTCTTCCACTATATAAGCACTCAGTAAGGCTGTGTGTATTTTACTGCTCATATAAATACCTGTCTGGTGCCTGCATTTTCTCAAAATTTGTCAGATCCCGTTTTAGACAGAAGACAGCATGGCACAACTCATAAAAATTGAGTGTGTTAGCATGTATGATCGAAAGAAGATATGAGAAACGAAACTGAATTAAGATCTTCGTCACCCAAGACAAAAAGCACAGCAGCAAATAATCTAGTACTAGCTAATTATACTCCCACCTGCCAGTATGAAGCAAAATGAAAAGGTATAGGAGCAGCGCATGTCCACGTTGTTACTTTCAGTAAATTAAATACTTCAAATCCTTGTGTTGGTTTGACATGCAACAGAATTTTCAATACTAAACTGATCTCTCAAAATTTATTTCATTATTATTTTCCATGTACAAATGATTGTAAAACATAATGAAAGTCTATAACAGGATAGTTCTTACACTTGCATGCTATAAGGAAGATTATTACAGCCTGTGTTTTGCATCATTGCCATTGTAGTTCATAGATGCCTAAACAGGAATTTTAATTTATTCACGAGTGAAGCCATCAAATATATTTACATTGCATTTTTATTGTATTTAAATTAACTAACCCAACGTTTGTTTTATATTCAGCAATAAAAATCTCAGATATGAACTATGAAATTCATTACAAAAACAAGTCTCAGCAGTCAAGGGACTGTGGTGACCACCTATAGGCAGACCAGGCACCTTGTTCAACACCTACAAGTAGACAAGAAACCCTAATGACCAATTACAGGCAGACAAAAGACCCCAGTGACCACCAACAGACAGGATAATCTATTGACTACATACAGACAGACAAGGGCCCCTGGTGATCTCCCACAGACAGACAGAGAAGGGCCCCTTGGTGATCTCCCACAGACAGACAGAGAAGGGCACCTGCTGATCTCCTACAAACAGACAGAGAAGAGCCCCTGGTGATCTCCCACAGACAGAGAAGGGCACCTGGTGATCTCCCACAGACAGAGAAAGGCCCCTGGTGATCTCCCACAGACAGAGAAGGGCCCCTGGTGATCTCCTACAGACAGACAGAGAAGGGCCCCTGGTGATCTCCTACAGACAGACAGAGAAGGGCCCTTGGTGATCTCCTACAGACAGACAGAGAAGGGCCCTTGGTGATCTCCTACAGACAGACAGAGAAGGGCACCTGGTGATCTCCCACAGACAGAGAAGGGCCCCTGGTGATCTCCTACAGACAGACAGAGAAGGGCCCCTGGTGATCTCCTACAGACAGACAGAGAAGGACCCCTGGTGATCTCCTACAGACAGACAGAGAAGGGCCCCTGGTGATCTCCCACAGACAGACAGAGAAGGGCCCCTGGTGATCTCCCACAGACAGAGAAGGGCCCCTGGTGATCTCCTACAGAAAGACAGAGTAGGGCCCATGGTGATCTCCCACAGACAGACAGAGAAGGGCCCCTGGTGATCTCCCACAGACAGACAGAGAAGGGCACCTGGTGATCTCCCACAGACAGACAGAGAAGGGCCCCTGGTGATCTCCTACAGACAGACAGAGAAGGGCCCCTGGTGATCTCCCACAGACAGAGAAAGGCCCCTGGTGATCTCCCACAGACAGAGAAGGGCCCCTGGTGATGTCCTACAAACAGACAGAGAAGGGCCCCTGGTGATCTCCCACAGACAGACAGAGAAGGGCACCTGGTGATCTCCCACAGACAGACAGAGAAGGGCACCTGGTGATCTCCCACAGACAGACAGAGAAGGGCCCCTGGTGATCTCCTACAGACAGACAGAGAAGGGCCCCTGGTGATCTCCTACAGACAGACAGAGAAGGGCCCCTGGTGATCTCCCACAGACAGACAGAGAAGGGCACCTGGTGATCTCCCACAGACAGACAGAGAAGGGCACCTGGTGATCTCCCACAGACAGAAAGTGGTGATCTCCCACAGACAGACAGAGAAGGCCCCTGGTGATCTCCCACAGACAGAGAAGGGCCCCTGGTGATCTCCTACAGAAAGACAGAGTAGGGCCCATGGTGATCTCCCACAGACAGACAGAGAAGGGCCCCTGGTGATCTCCTACAGACAGACAGAGAAGGGCCCTTGGTGATCTCCCACAGACAGACAGAGAAGGGCACCTGGTGATCTCCCACAGACAGACAGAGAAGGGCACCTGGTGATCTCCCACAGACAGACAGAGAAGGGCCCCTGGTGATCTCCTACAGACAGACAGAGAAGGGCCCCTGGTGATCTCCCACAGACAGAGAAAGGCCCCTGGTGATCTCCCACAGACAGAGAAGGGCCCCTGGTGATGTCCTACAAACAGACAGAGAAGGGCCCCTGGTGATCTCCCACAGACAGACAGAGAAGGGCCCCTGGTGATCTCCCACAGACAGGTGATCTCCCACAGAGAAGGGCACCTGGTGATCTCCCACAGACAGACAGAGAAGGGCACCTGGTGATCTCCCACAGACAGACAGAGAAGGGCCCCTGGTGATCTCCTACAGACAGACAGAGAAGGGCCCCTGGTGATCTCCCACAGACAGAGAAAGGCCCCTGGTGATCTCCCACAGACAGAGAAGGGCCCCTGGTGATGTCCTACAAACAGACAGAGAAGGGCCCCTGGTGATCTCCCACAGACAGACAGAGAAGGGCACCTGGTGATCTCCCACAGACAGACAGAGAAGGGCACCTGGTGATCTCCCACAGACAGAGAAGGGCACCTGGTGATCTCCCACAGACAGAGAAAGGCCCCTGGTGATCTCCCACAGACAGAGAAGGGCCCCTGGTGATCTCCTACAGACAGACAGAGAAGGGCCCCTGGTGATCTCCTACAGACAGACAGAGAAGGACCCCTGGTGATCTCCTACAGACAGACAGAGAAGGGCCCCTGGTGATCTCCCACAGACAGACAGAGAAGGGCCCCTGGTGATCTCCCACAGACAGAGAAGGGCCCCTGGTGATCTCCCACATACAGACAGAGAAGGGCCCCTGGTGATCTCCCACAGACAGACAGAGAAGGGCCCCTGGTGATCTCCCACAGACAGACAGAGAAGGGCCCCTGGTGATCTCCCACAGACAGAGAAGGGCCCCTGGTGATCTCCCACAGACAGAGAAGGGCCCCTGGTGATCTCCTACAGACAGACAGAGAAGGGCCCTTGGTGATCTCCTACAGACAGACAGAGAAGGGCACCTGGTGATCTCCCACAGACAGAGAAGGGCCCCTGGTGATCTCCTACAGACAGACAGAGAAGGGCCCCTGGTGATCTCCCACAGACAGACAGAGAAGGGCCCCTGGTGATCTCCCACAGACAGAGAAGGGCCCCTGGTGATCTCCTACACAGACAGAGACAGAGAAGGGCCCCTGGTGATCTCCCACAGACAGAGAAGGGCCCCTGGTGATCTCCTACAGACAGACAGAGAAGGGCCCCTGGTGATCTCCTACAGACAGACAGAGAAGGACCCCTGGTGATCTCCTACAGACAGACAGAGAAGGGCCCCTGGTGATCTCCCACAGACAGACAGAGAAGACAGAGAAGGGCCCCTGGTGATCTCCCACAGACAGAGAAGGGCCCCTGGTGATCTCCCACATACAGACAGAGAAGGGCCCCTGGTGATCTCCCACAGACAGACAGAGAAGGGCCCCTGGTGATCTCCCACAGACAGACAGAGAAGGGCCCCTGGTGATCTCCCACAAACAGAGAAGGGCCCCTGGTGATCTCCCACAAACAGAGAAGGGCCCCTGTTGATCTCCCACAGACAGACAGAGAAGGGCCCCTGGTGACAGTGAAGGGCCCCTGCGAGGAGCCGCCCCCCGATCTCAGCAGCCCATGGTCCCCAGGCCGGCCTCCCCCAATGTTGGCCCATACCGCCCCCCCGGTCACACTCACCCGGCCATCTTCTCATGGTGCATTCACCCCGGTCTCTCTCCCAGCCTGCGGCCCCGGCGCCTCCTCGCGGCCTTCTCTGGGCACAACACCCGTCGCAGCTGCTGTGACTCAACCAGACCGCCCCATAGCAACCGGCGGCCGCTGATTGCGCAGCCGTGACGTCAGCCACAGCAACGGTTCGTCACGTGACTCCTGCGAGCGCACCTAGACTGTGGTGAGCGGACGGTTGCGTCATCCCCCAGAGCCGGAAGTGCCTCTCGCGGGTAGTCGCCATGGTAACTGAAAGTAGCAGCTGGTCCCGTAAATTAGACGTCATTGGCTTTAAAATACTGCAAAATCATTATTCAAAGTAATGTCTGACTCAGCTGAGATCACAAAGTCATAGTGCAGCTTGTAAACTGAATTATACCCTATGTCAATCACAACCATGGCCAATATATGAGACATTCATTAATAATATCTGGGAAATATGAGAAATCCATTATTAATATCTGGAAATATGAGAAATTAATTAATAATATCTGGAAATATGAGAAATTAATTAATACTATCTGGAAATATGAGCAGTTAAACCCAGATAACAGCCAGGCAGTCTGTCTAATGGTGTAAAATCGGCTTACTGCACACTCATTCAGAACTGAATGATAAAACATGACATTAGTTATTCATTAAAGTGTAAATTGTCAGAATTTCAAGGTGAATTAAAAAATGTAGGCCAAATTACAAGAATTCTCCACATTGGCTGTTGTCACAGCTACCCTACCCAACTTACAGTTATAGGTAAGGGACAAATAGACGGAACGGACAAATTACTAGAGCTTAGAATGGCCAGGTTTAATGTAAAGATTAGAGTGTTCTGGACCAAACCAAGTGTTTGTTTATTTGAGTATCTGCCCCTGTCCAGATTGTTTAAAATAAACTGCGTGCACGCGGAAGTAAATCATACTGAGACACCAGTTTCAGGTTAATGAAAAACTTTGGAATATTTACTTAGAGGGGCGGCAGACCCCTTATAAAGCAGAACATACATCATATGCAAAACATGAGATAACAGAGAGTATACATCTTTAATTGGTCAAGTGTCTCATTTAATGCACTTCCTCCAAAATGTGATGTCACCATCATCTCGGGATTTTACTCCGGATGGAGACGCCATCTTGTTACTCAAGGTGTTTGGTTGATGGGAGGAGTGCTCTAGCAGCCATTTTGAGCAAATACTGAATACAGGCATACATAGTAAATAGACATTTTACCAACATTAATTTCTATCCATAACAAGAGAAAGTGTAATTGTAACACCAGCCAAGATCAGGATAGTAGAAAAAACAAAATACGATACAACTAGCCAAGTCAGAATTACAAAAATCAGAATAGTCGGTAAAACAAGCTAAAATCGAAGAACAAGAAAAATCAGGGAACGATATAACGCACTATACAAGGAGCCAGGAGAAAATCAAGACAGGGCAATGACAAATGGGGCTAAAACTTTATATAAATTCTATGGTGGAAACTGATTGGGCCACGCCACCCCTGGTGAGGGAACGGGGTCACAGTGAAGACATGGCACTACCAATGAAGCTAGACATAAGTATATTATAAATAAAGGGGTGCCGCGTGCATGCAGCGTTCCTCTCTCTATTACACTGCCTTAGAGCATCGGGAGGACCAAAGGAACTCAGAGGCTGTACTTCCTGAACGATGTGCGTGACATTCAGTCTGGAGCAGCGTGTCGTTCGAGTAAGTACAGAGACAGCTGTGGGGTGTATTCACTGGGCTCGGAAATGTGAATTGGACTGTGAATGGCAACATTCACAAAATTACCATGGCCTGGCTATAAAGGAGTTGGATATATCTTCCAGATCAGCTATTTTGGACTGAATTTTGCCATTTAGATTTAAATTTAGAGAATAACCCTGAATGCTTTCTGTTCTACCCTTTATATTTTCACTTTTTTCCCCCCCAATATGCAAAGTATGTGGAACGTTTATGCTGCAATATTTGTCATTGATTAATGACTTGTTTTCATTTTTTTGTTGCGTTTGAATTCGACATACTGCAGAGCAGCTCGTTTTAAGTGTTCCCTATCAATCTGTTTTACATTATATGTGTCCAGGAAAAGATGGTGGATTTGGCAGTCCTATTGTCACATAGTAAAGCTAGATAAAATAGAAAGGTGAACAGCGCTAAAAATCAGAAAATATACATACGTTTTGTAGAAATACTGGCCAGCAGAGTAACTTAAAAAAAAAAAAGAGAAACAAAAATACAAATAATGGTACAGTATGTATGAACGATATAATTCCACAAGAACAAAGGTGTTATATTCACACTCACACTTTGAGGAGCTATATCAGCTCGGTGTTAAGAGCCTGGACGGAATAATCCCAGTCTATGGATTTCTTGAGGTTCAAGACCGTTGGTGAATTTATAGGTGTAAATATTCGTTACATGAAAAACAAGAGTAAAATACACCACATGGTATAGTACGTAAATATAAAATATTTTGAAAAAAAAAGTGGATGATCCTACTTACATATACTAGAGCAACGACCTGCTCTAGTTTGGAGAATTTCAGGTGGAATAATCCCCACCTTGGGATATAGTGGACCCAGGTATAGCAGCAAAGCAGTATTGGTTAGGAAGGAGGACAAAAAGAATGACTGGATAGTTTAAAAAATATATATACTTTAATTCAATAAGTAAAAAGTGAATAATAAACTATAAAACCAGTCCTGTATAAAAGTCCAAAATTCTTCCTCACTTGACGCGTTTCGCCGAAGCTTTCTCATTTTTGAGAAAGCTTCGGCAAAACGCGTCAAGTGAGGAAGAATTTTGGACTTTTATACAGGACTGGTTTTATAGTTTATTATTCACTTTTCACTTATTGTATTAAAGTATATATATTTTTTAAACTATCCAGTCATTCTTTTTGTCCTCCTTCCTATCCAATACTGCTTTGCTGCTATACCTGGGTCCACTATATCCCAAGGTGGGGATTATTCCACCTGAAATTCTCCAAACTAGAGCAGGTCGTTGCTCTAGTATATGTAAGTAGGATCATCCAATTTTTTTTCACAATATTTTATATTTACGTACTATACCATGTGGTGTATTTTACTCTTGTTTTTCATGTAACGAATATTTACACCTATAAATTCACCAACGGTCTTGAACCTCAAGAAATCCATAGACGGGGATTATTCCGTCCAGGCTCTTAACACCGAGCTGATATAGCTCCTCAAAGCGTGAGTGTGAATATAACACCTTTGTTCTTGTGGAATTATATCGTTCATACATACTGTACCATTATTTGTATTTTTGTTTCTCTTTTTTTTAAGTTACTCTGCTGGCCAGTATTTCTACAAAACGTATGTATATTTTCTGATTTTTAGCGCTGTTCACCTTTCTATTTTATCTGTCTATTTATCACAAGGTAGAGGAACACCTTGTTGGTGAACTGCTGCTCACCCCTGAGAAGAGAGCGCTTATTATTCTTTTGCATTTGACATAGTAAAGCTAGACTTTGCAATCTGCAGCTCAAGACTCGTTTATCCTGCTGACGTCTTGCACAGATGACATAGATAGGAGCTATAGCACAGGTGTCATGTTTATGTCCCAGAGCCATGGGCGGTCATCACCAAATTTGTATCATACAAACTGCCTCCCACTCATTTAATATGAATGAGGAAAGCAAATATTAGCCTCCTGTCTTTAATAAAATGTAGATTATTAGGTCACTAACACTAGAATAATCTCTAACTCTGCAACATTGCAGTTTCCAGCTGTCTACATCTTGCAAATTATTAAAATTAGGAACGGATTAGGATCAACTAAACGTTTATGTAATTGTCCTCATTTCAGCTCCTTTTACCTGTGTCGCGTTGACATCCTCAGAGAGGACCACTAGTTACAGATAACTCAGTGCTAACCTGGATTAATTGGTAAGAACAATATTAGTGACTAATCAAATTCTCTTCGGTCACCTGTACAGCATAGGGAAAATACCCAGGTGTACTGATGCTAATACTAAGGAAGTAAGAATTTACAGTAAGTTAAAATGTCTATTTTTGTATGTGTAGTGCACACAGACACATTTTTCATAGATAATAAGCAAACCATGTCTCTGGAACAGATGGTAAATAATTACAGATTGCGTTTGTGGCAAACCGAGCCACTTACTGAGTGTAATTGTATATTTTCTGCTATTTCCCGTATTGTTTGTTTCCCCCATTAAAAGATCCATGTATGAAGCATTCGTGTGTTACAGCACACGAATACCGCTAGTATTCAGCTTGGTTATCCGCGAACAGTGAATTGCCGCACTATTCGTGGAACAAGCAAAGTACCAAATGGGAGACCACCCCCAGCAGGTCGTGTGTCTCCAATTAGGTACTGTGCAACAGTGTATCCATGCCCAATTAATGTATGTTGTGGGTGGCCGCCGTTCGTGTACCGAACACGTGGCGGTGGCCATCTTTGTTCTCGGAGACCCAGCGGGGTTTTGTCGTCGAGTGTCTGGAACTAAATTCGGTTACTCGGCAACACAAGCCCCGCTGGACTTCCAAGCCGTTCGGGAATTTTATTCTTTCGGGAATCTCATTCCCTCCATTAGTACAGCCGTTTAAGCCAAGTGGTCCTGATCCTGTAAAAAGAAAGGCGTTTGGTTATTTGCGCTGGGATCTGAGCGCAAGTTCCCTCAATAGTGCGCTCAGGTCCCAGCTATGTAATAAGGGGTTTATTAGCTGCCTAGCAGGAATATTAGGTCAGTTATAGATTTTAATGTATAAACTGTAATTTTCTGTACCAAGATATAATCCCATTAACAATGCATTCTGGGGTAATTATTTCTTTGGTACAGCAGTGTATGATGGGTAATCCGCCTGTAAACTCAGTCCCCCATGTAGTCCACTACTGGACAAACCCTGTAATGTGACTTGGGAAACCCCTTACATTTGTAACCGCATAAATACTGTGACCTGTGATTAAAACCTCAGTTGACCTCCAAGCTATGTGTCGTCTAGTTCTTGGGAGAAAGAGATTGTAACTACGCTACCTGCATTTTGCTTACTTTTTACCTGCTTCACTCTGTCTGCCAGCGGAGATACCGTGGATAATACTACTGCTCCGCTACAGCGTTATATCTTGCAATCTTGTGATCTTTCTTGACGCACAAAAAGCAATAGAATTAAAAACCCAGGGAGTTCACTGGTATATTTCCTTTGGATAAGAGACATACAGAATACAATTTCTAACAAAGAAAGGTGCATGTGTTTGCTTTACTGGACATGGCTCGCGCATGACTGGTGGGTAGGGCATTAATGATCATTTTTATGGCTTATTGATTATGTATTATATTAATCAGTTACTAAGTTGCTCTATGTTCTCATAATATCTACACATTTTCTTTGTCTACACATTACGTGAAGTTTTATTGTGATGAGGCTCTAACATACACTAATACATTCCAGATAATCAGAACTCCTACACGTTTAATGAGCAAACACAGAAATATAGTGAACCGACAAATTCAGGTTAAAATTGCAAAGCAGTGAGTAGAGCTGAGTATTTGTTTTTTTTCCTAAATCATTACTTTTTGCCTAAATGTTGCGCTTTTTTTTTTATATTCATTGCAATTTGCTGATTTAGGGAAGAAACTCTTTGGAGAAGACGGCGAACAAGTCAGAACAGGATGAGTCATGGAGAGTTGCTTAGAAAAGAGGGGCTTTCTCGAAAAAGAGGAACACCCCAGTTATGCAATCCCGGCTTACAGACACCACTTAAATTGTAGAAATGGCTACAATGAGTGAGGAGCATGAGGGAAGGAAAGAACACCTAGATCAGGTATTCATACGATACTGTGAGGTCATCCCTATCACATGACACCACTCCCTGTTTTGATGTTTGCATACAACTGCTTCTATTTCCTATTTGGTGGCAGGCAATGCAACCCATATAGCAGGTCAGACAGCTCAGTACGAACCAGGTGTTTTATCCTCATTTCTGCCTCTTCCTACTACAGACAGGGTAGGTGAGCATCCAACTCAGGTAAGTCCTATCAGCTGGCATGCTATTGATATTTTCAATTTTTTTTCAGTGTTAATAATATTGGTTTTCCACCAGGAAATTACACATTTTTGCCACAATAGCTGATCTGGAAACAACTGACTTGATATTTTTCATTCCAGATATTTTGACTTTAGATTAAATTACTGGATTTATTCCTTATAATTCACAGTTCAGTGAATAATCCTGATACGATATGATGATCTGGGAAAGAAAACCAGCCATGCTTTTATCACACACTCTGTATTATTGTGTTCAAAAGGGGATTTTTCAGAAACTGAGAATAGGGGAGAACTTAACATTTTAGCAAACTAGCGAATTTGTTTCAGTTTGGTTGTTTTGGGTAAAAATACCCTATCCCCTTGCCAAGTCCCAGTAACTGGGTTTGTCAATAGATCCCAAAACATTTGTGCCAGTCTGTAAGTTGGCATGGCGGTCATGTGAGGGTTAGATCTAATTACACAATAGATATATGACGGACACTTCCTGTTATGTACAAACCTGATTTAATAGAAACTGTGATTAAAACAAACACCTAGGAACGAGATTGTGGCTGTAAACCAATCACATGGGAATTATGTATATCATTTCTTAGACAATGACTCATGGTTTTATTTACTAAATAGAGTTTAAAAAAAATTGTAGTCCATTTAAAACATAATTTTAAAATGTAGGCCAGCATGGCTGATTTGGAAAAAAATCTCAACTATAGTCATCACTTGTGTATTTTACGCTGAGTTTTCAATTCTGCTTTCAGTTCACCACAATTCACTGGTTAATCAATAGAGCTGGCAGTGTTCAGTTCCCTGGAATACAGTAGATTGAGGAACATAGTCCCTCTCTAGCATCAAATGGGTTAAATACTAAGACACAGAGGGAAAAGTTAACACTGTAAAGTTACTGTGATTTGTCTGTCCAGTCTATATCTTTCTCATGCCTATAGGCACACATTGTATAACTTGCTCTATACTGCCTATAGGCACACATTGTATAACTTGATCTATACTACCTATAGACACACACTGTATAGCTTGCTCTATACTGCCTATAGGCACACACTGTATAGCTTGCTCTATACTGCCTATAGGCACACACTGTATAACTTGCTCTATACTGCCTATAGGCACACACTGTATAGCTTGCTCTATACTGCCTATAGTCACACATTGTATAACTTGCTCTATACGGCCTATAGGCACACATTGTATAACTTGCTCTATACTGCCTATAGGCACACACTGTATAGCTTGCTCTATACTGCCTATAGGCACACACTGTATAACTTGCTCTATACTGCCTATAGGCACACACTGTATAGCTTGCTCTATACTGCCTATAGTCACACATTGTATAACTTGCTCTATACGGCCTATAGGCACACATTGTATAACTTGCTCTATACTGCCTATAGGCACACACTGTATAGCTTGCTCTATACTGCCTATAGGCACACATTGTATAACTTGCTCTATACTGCCTATAGGCACACACTGTATAGCTTGCTCTATACTGCCTATAGGCACACACTGTATAGCTTGCTCTATACTGCCTATAGACATACACTGTATAGCTTGCTCTATACTGCCTATAAGCATACACTGTATAGCTTGCTCTATACTGCCTATAGGCACACACCATATAGCTTGCTCTATACTGCCTATAGGCACACACCATATAGCTTGCTCTATACTGCCTATAGGCACACACTGTATAGCTTGCTCTATATGGCCTATAGGCACACACTGTATAGCTTGCTCTATATGGCCTATAGACACACACTGTATAGCTTGCTCTATACTTCCTATATACACACACTGTATAGCTTGCTCTATACTGCCTATAGGCACACACTGTATAGCTTGCTCTATGCTGCCTATAGGCACACACCATATAGCTTGCTCTATACTGCCTATAGGCACACACCCTATAACTTGCTCTATACTGCCTATAGGCACACACCGTATAGCTTGCTCTATACTGCCTATATACACACACTGTATAGCTTGCTCTATACTGCCTATAGGCACATACTGTATAGCTTGCTCTATACTGCCTATAGGCACACACCATATAGCTTGCTCTATACTGCCTATAGGCACACACCGTGTAGCTTGCTCTATACTGCCTATAGGCACACACCATATAGCTTGCTCTATACTGCCTATAGGCACACACCATATAGCTTGCTCTATACTGCCTATAGGCACACACCGTATAGCTTGCTCTATACTGCCTATAGGCACACACCATATAGCTTGCTCTATACTGCCTATAGGCACACACCGTATAGCTTGCTCTATACTGCCTATAGGCACACACCGTATAGCTTGCTCTATACTGCCTATAGGCACACACCATATAGCTTGCTCTATACTGCCTATAGGCACACACTGTATAGTTTGCTCTATACTGCCTATAGGCACACACTGTATAGCTTGCTCTATACTGCCTATTGGCACAAACTGTATAGTTAATATCTTTCTCTATTCTACCCACAGGCTCACACTGTATAGCTTATATCTTGTCCTGTACAGATTGTAGGCACACAGTGAATAGATTGCTCCCTATCTGAGGTTCTCTCTGCAGTCATTAATGTAAACATTAATTGCATAGAACTTTCCGTCTTGTCAGCTGATCCGACTTTTGGCTTGGAAGTCAAAGACCAGTCTTTCCAGTTCCAAGTGTCCGCCTTTTTCCCCTAGTGAGCCGTGAGGACTGTACAGAGACTTCTGGTAGTAATAATAAACAAACCTACCCATCAGCATTCTTATATGGCAGACTAACATTTTAGCTGTGCATCACCCACAATGGACATATCTAACCAATTATCTAAGATAAATATGGGGAAATATGTGATAGAGCAAAGAAAAGTTGAGTAACATAAACTAGGAAATGTACAATAAAAACAAAACAAATACCAATAATGAATAATACAGTGGTTGTTAAACGGGCTCTTTAATCGCCTTCAGCTCAGCTCAGCGCAGTGGTTATAGTGCTATAAGTCACCTTTTCTGTTATGTAATTTTGGAACAATAGAATAAAAAATGGGGCTGTCCCCAGCAGCCATAATCCGTACCCTCTGAAGAATCGATACAAATCTGACCTACCTTGGACAAAGATGATTGAGATCACAGACCTTAGAATTTTGTTTCCTCAAAAAGAGAATTATAGGAAAGTTATGTTCAATCGTTTTCCCATGATCCAAATAAAAGCTTATTCTCTGTTATCAAAGAAAATGTTGCACTAAAACTGCCAGCCATCAAATCCCAAGGAAGTTGTGTAGTGAGAATGGAATGTGCATTTTATTTCTCAGTGGAGCGAATGTGTTCTACTATTGTCAACTTTTATGTGTAATGTATGAAGAGGACATCTCCTATGGAATGGTATTAAGGTTCTATTAACCTTTCAGAAATGAATTGAGAGAGAGTGCTCGAATTTGAGTTACCTGGAATTGAATCTGAATTTGGGGATAGGCGTGGAACAATAAAGTATCAGTCTAAGAAGGAAAAATATGTAATATTTGCATGGTAGATAATCAAAAACTCTGTATGCATCTAGCCAAATGGCTAAAATGTTTTTTGAAGGAATTGTTCATATCTGCCACAGCATATTATTTTGGGACTCTAATTCAAAGATAGGGAGTCGTCTCTTGGAGTTAGTTGGACAGGGAATGCTGTCTTGGAGTTAGTGAGACAGGGAATGCTGTCTTGGAGTTAGTGAGACAGGGAGTCCTCTCTTGGAGTTGGTCGCACAGGGAGTCCACTCTTGGAGTTGGTCGGACATCAGACTCCCAGTGATCTTAACCTTGGCTGTGTTTGTGTGATATGTTACTCGTTGGTTATGGAAGGTCCCATGAATTTCCTGCTTCAGCCTTTATAGCAGTACCAGAATGAGCAGTATTGCAGTCTTTCCATAAAATGTGTTTATTTACAGCTACAAATTGCTTTTTGCTTATGTCCACAGGAAGAGTCACGATGCTGGGGTCTGGGTTTAAAGCGGATCGACTAAAGATCAATCTAAGACTGGCCATGAACCGGCTGAAGCTGCTTGAGAAGAAGAAAAGTGAGCACATTCTAGATCATGGCTAAGTCTAATTATATAATTTATCTAAAGAGTGCTGTGTCTCTGTGGTTTGTGAACCCATTTCAAATGTTGTGTGTTTGTGTGTGCCCCTAGCTGAGATCGCACAAAAAGCCAGGAAGGAGATTGCAGATTACTTGTCCTCTAAGAAGTTTGATCGAGCACGGATCCGTGTAGAGCACATTATTCAAGAAGATAACCTTGTGGAGGCCATGGAGATTCTAGAGATGTTCTGTGACCTGCTCCTTGCCCGATTTGGTCTAATTCAGTGTATGAAGTAAGTGCCCAGAATGGCCCATTCAACACCCAATAGAAATACAGTGATGGTAGTGGGTGTAAAGCTAGTTTATTTTAAGAAAGGGACCACAAACAGCTTGCTTCATACTTTCGCCCAAAAGCAGTATGATTCAGAATGTTTAGTTCCATAGAATCGCGGATAAGTGCAGCTGGGGAACCGACTGGGAACGGCAAGGTTTTCATGCCGAAAATAGTTCCAGGGCATTCGCAGCTAAATCCCCCTGAAGTCTATTTGCGGTTTTGCTCCATGTGAACAAGATGGCCGCCACCACGTGATCAAATGGCACTTCGAAAGTTCGATTTGTTCCTGCTAGAAGTCCAAGAGGCACAACCAGAGTCTTTAACCCAAAATTCATTACAGGGGCCATAGTCACAGGGCAAGAGGCTGGCAAGTATGAACCTCCAAGAACCCATGACAAGGTCCAGTTTGTCACAGAATCTAAAATGAGTATTTAAAATTATTATTTATAAAGAGCCAATCAAAAATGGAAATGACATGTACTGTCAATACATTATTTAAAAGATAAAATATACCTGGGAGGCAGCTTCATAAGAAAGTGGCTCAACCTATTAGGAGCCTCTCCTTTTATGAAGATGAGATGTGAACTTAATCCTACACTCTTGTCCAGCAGTGGATTAAAAGATATGTAGTTCAGCTCATGTTAGCAGTTCATGATTTAGATTTGATGAGTGGGCATGTTGAACATGTTGATAGTAGCTAAACTGAGGCTCCTACTAGCCTTTGGACACAGTTTTGCGAATGGAGCTGTACAGTGAACTCTCACAGAGTGGGTGGACATGTGTGCAGCTGATACTTTGAATCTCTCACTGAATATGTATGGAGAGATGGAGTGTACACCTCAAACAAGTACTGGGAACAGGATAAAATATAGCTTCATCCTTTGACGTCTAAGGCCATTTGGGCAGGCTTCTACCTGTGTGAGTTCTGCAAATTGCAATTATGTTTAAAGAGTCAGGGTTGAAGGTTTCTATTGTACCAAAGCCTGTGCAAGGAGTGTAAATTATGGTCTTGAAATGTCCATTTACATCTGCACAGCATATTTGTAATTAAGTATATATTCATCTGTTGTATATTATGATTAATTTACAGCCACCTTCTGAAAGGGCATAGATGGGTTTTTCATGCATTTGATCCTCACCTTTGCAAGCCCTCCCCTTCCAACCCCGCCCAGACTTTCTGTGTTTGTCCAATCACAGACTCCCAATGCAGCTCAGTGAGAAGTCTTTGCAAGGCAGGTGCTCTGGGCAATCGCTGCCTCGAGTTTAGTTCCACTGATATAAAAGGACCAGTTGTCTGACAATTTCTTCAGAAATTTGGACATTTTGTAAAGTGAAAAAAAGAGGATACACTCTTCACACATAAAGTATTTCAGCGAGCTCAAGTGCTTCAGCTGTTTGGAGCATTTACTTAATATGCATTAATAGAATACTAATGGCCTGTGTTTCTTCTGTGATGATGTGATTTTATTGGCCAGGAGTTTTGATATAATGAGTTTTATCTGTACAGACAAGTGGACCCTGGCCTGTCAGAAGCTATCTCCTCTCTGATCTGGGCCGCCCCACGTCTCATGGAAGTAACTGAGCTAAAGACGGTGAGTAAAGGAGACACCTGTAAGCTACCTGTAAGCTACCTGTAAGCTTTGCATTGGGTATGAGTGTGTGCACGGCTGGACTCTAAGGGTCTGGGTCGTCAGTATACTTATTCTGTGTATGTATAGGTTTTTCATTATTAATCCTTCAACTGTTGGTAAGCTTCAAATGACATCATGCATCAGTAAATGTGGGACTACAGCTCACATCATGCATCAGTAAATGTAGGACTACAGCTCACATCATGCATCAGTAAATGTGGGACTACAGCTCACATCATGCATCAGTAAATGTGGGACTACAGCTCACATCATGCATCAGTAAATGTGGGACTACAGCTCTCATCATGCATCAGTAAATGTAAGACTACAGGTCACATCATGCATCAGTAAATGTGGGACTATAGCTCTCATCATGCATCAGTAAATGTGGGACTACAGCTCACATCATGCATCAGTAAATGTGAGACTACAGGTCATATCATGCATCAGTAAATGTGGGACTATAGCTCTCATCATGCATCAGTAAATGTGGGACTACAGCTCTCATCATGCATCAGTAAATGTGGGACTACAGCTCACATCATGCATCAGTAAATGTGAGACTACAGGTCACATCATGCATCAGTAAATGTGGGACTATAGCTCTCATCATGCATCAGTAAATGTGGGACTACAGCTCACGTCATGCATCAGTAAATGTGGGACGACACTATATTCCGTTTTTTTTTTCTCCTTCTTTAGGCCAGACCTATACCTTGTGAAGAGGGTCACAGTCAGACATACAGTTTGTGACAAGGATCTGATGAAATGTGACAATGTTAATATTTTTGCAGGTGGCAAGTCAGCTGTCTAACAAATACAGCAAAGAATATGGCAGTCTGTGCAGAACAAATGAAATTAAAACCGTCAGTGAGCGAGTGAGTATACACTCCAATATTCATTCACTGTTTGATATCATGCTTAGAGGACCATTTAATAATTATTGCTTGGAATAAGACACAAAATCCAAGATTTGTTTTTAGCAGTTTCTGTGTAATATTTGTAGCACAGTTTGCTCTTTCATTGACACTAATGAGCAGGGATATCAAAACCTTAAACGAAATATCTGTACTTAAAGGGGGTGCAGGTTAGACAATATGCAATATATCTTGGGGCTATATAAAACAAATATTTAAAGACATATAGTGCTTTTGTTATGTTTGAATAAAACAAAATGAAGATTATCACACATTCTCCAGAACATTTTCATTAAGGTTATCACACTCACATTCAGCAGAACATTTTCATTAAGATTATTGCACTCACAGAACATTTTCATTAAGGTTATTGCACTCACATTCTGCAGAACATTTTCATTAAGGTTATCACACTCACATTCAGCAGAACATTTTCATTAAGATTATTGCACTCACAGAACATTTTCATTAAAGTTATTGCACTCACATTCTGCAGAACATTTTCATTAAGGTTATCACACTCACATTCAGCAGAACATTTTCATTAAGGTTATTGCACTCACATTCAGCAGAACATTTTCATTAAGGTTATTGCACTCACATTCAGCAGAACATTTTCATTAAGGTTATCGCACTCACATTCTGCAGAACATTTTCATTAAGGTTATGACATTCACATTCAGCAGAACATTTTCATTAAGGTTATCACACTCACATTCTGCAGAACATTTTCATTAAGGTTATCACACTCACATTCTGCAGAACATTTTCATTAATATTATTGCACTCACATTCTGCAGAACATTTTCATTAAAGTTATTGCACTCACATTCTGCAGAACATTTTCATTAATATTATTGCACTCACATTCTGCAGAACATTTTCATTAAAGTTATTGCACTCACATTCTGCAGAACATTTTCATTAATATTATTGCACTCACATTCTGCAGAACATTTTCATTAAAGTTATTGCACTCACATTCTGCAGAACATTTTCATTAATATTATTGCACTCACATTCTGCAGAACATTTTCATTAAAGTTATTGCACTCACATTCTGCAGAACATTTTCATTAAGGTTATCACACACATTCAGCAGAACATTTTCATTCAGGTTATCGCACTCACATTCAGCAGAACATTTTCATTCAGGTTATCACACTCACATTCAGCAGAACATTTTCATTAAGGTTATCACACTCACATTCTGCAGAACATTTTCATTAAGGTTATCACACTCACATTCAGCAGAACATTTTCATTAAGGTTATCACACTCACATTCAGCAGAACATTTTCATTCAGGTTATCGCACTCACATTCTGCACAACATTTCTTTGGCATATAAAATAGATTGTTCTAGGTGGTTTCCCACCATCGAGTTAGGGTGGTCCTATTAGGTGATTTTCTGGCTCAGTTGTTCAGAACTAAACCTAAGAACTAAATTGTATGTTATATATTTAGATAAATTAATATAGGACCATTTACACTCCATTCACTTACTTGAAAGCACATTGAGCTGAATGGTCAGTTTTGAAATGGGTTTTATTGCTGCAGCAAGATTTATTTGAAAATAGCTCAATCAAAGGGAAATTGATTGGCAGCAGAATTATCCTACTCTGCTGTAAGAAAAACAAAGACACGGCCACGGTAAAGCTAGGGTCAGGGTGAGGGATTTAGAGTTGGGTGTAACATAATAAGGATAAGTAGTAGTAAGGCGTTTAAGTAGCTTTAGAATGACTGTTAGTGTTAGAAGTGATAGGAATTTGGTTGCAAATAGCTAAAATGCCAAACATGCACAGATTTGGCTGGTTTTAACAGATCTGCAAATGGCAGCTGCATGGTATTGTGAATCTGTTAAAATAATCAAAATGTTCTATTTGAATTGTCAAATTGGTTAAATTTGGGCTTAGTGAATAGACATGCATAGTTTGCGTTCTTTACCTCCTTTTGCTTTGTTCTAACTGCTGTCAGGTCCCTAGGTTGGTTGTTATTTGGACCCCGGCTGTTCGGGTCCTTGCACAGTGATATGGTTCTCATTCTTAAAACCTGCTTTCTTCCCGCAGCTGATGAAGAAGCTGAATACAGCAGCTCCGCCAAGGATATTAGTGGAGAAGTATCTGATTGAGATTGCTAAACAGTACAACGTGCAGTTTGAGCCTGATCTTACTGCTTTGGTGAGTGACAGCGGACATTAAACGACCTGAATCTGAGACAAACTCATCATTTCTGTTGGGATGTTCTATATTAACAGTGGTCAGAAGGTAGACCCCCATTTATTTAATGGAAATGTTCTGCCCAGACCTGCTGTATCCGACTATGCCGTTCCTGCTCCCACTTGCTGTGCCATTTTGGATATTTCTGTTCACTGAGCACCAGTTCCAGAACTCTTGTTTATTTTGTTTCCCCTTTTAGCTGCTCCCTATGAGCAATCTAATCACTCCCACAATGACTCTCTCACCCCAGACTTCAAGCCCTCTACTTGATATTAACAACGCAGTAAAACTGTGGGTTAACATCAAAAACAGAGTTTTGTTTTATTCTATTTTTCTGTGTATTGCGATCATCTAAACCTCTCAGCCAGTGAGATAAGCCCTGCATTGCTTTCCTGACTCCCCTGAGATGATAGTGGTGCCAGGAAGCAGTGTGATGTGGACTGTAATATAATGGTTTGACTTCTTACAATGGAGAGGCTCCAGGGAACTCCCTGGGCTATAACGTCTACAGTGTGCTGTAGTGGTTATGGTGCCTGAAATGTTCCTTAAAATATATTAAACAAGATTAATTTGTGATTCATCATTACAGCACACAAATAGAGTAATCATTTACCTCTGGACAATACATAGTGGGAAATAAAATAGGAGAAGCTTAATCAGAGTATGTACAGTTTGATAAGAGGGTACAATACCAACAGACACTGACAGACGTCAACATATCGGGCTATGTATAAATAACTCTCATCAACCCTTATGAATTCAGGTAATTGTATCAGTTGAATGGACCGATGCTGTTTCTATGAAATGCCAAGCAGTTTCTGTGGGTTCTTTATAATTCTTTATAAACGTTTCAGTTTTCAAGGTTGAGAGAGGAAATACATCATAGAACACTGCAGCCGTAGCTCCTGGTTTTAACATGTGGATCAGTATCTCCAGGGTTTATTCACTCTCAGTGAGACGGTTTTGTATGTGTTTTCAAAGCAGTGGTGCAAGTTAAATTAGCCAAACCCATGTTTCCACCTTTTTACTTTTGGCAGTTTGTAAATTCACACTCCTATTAAAGATTTAAGAGAAGAGTTTCTCATTACCTTGACATGTGATACCATCTAGCTGCGCTGGGTCCATCTTCCTTCATCCCAGGAGCCTTTGCCGTTCCAGGCATGTAGAGACTATTTATGGCATCTGATGATACAGGTACCAGTGACCCTGATCAATGTCTTGCTAGAGTCGCAGATCGGTGGAAATATTCAGTAATTAATTTAGGATTTTATGCGGAATTTGTAAGAAATTGGCAAGGGATATGCAAAACTCGGTGCAAAAACTGCACCTTCAGTTAAAACCAATAATCCAGTTTTCTGTCCAATCCGTCCAAAACAGCAGAATTGAAAAACTTCTTCCCTCGTCAATTCTTCAGATTCCTCAGTAACTGCATAAACATGATTGTCTTGCTGATTGTCATGTGCATGCATCTAGCTTCTGCAACATAAAGATAATTTATTATATTGCTTTAGACTTGGTAGAGAGATAGAAAATAAAAAGAAGCTACTGGAAAGAAAAAACTAATCTCAACTTTTTTAATATAATTTTTTTACAGGCTGAGGTTCCCCCTGAAGATAACCATGATAAAAAGACAGGAGGACCTGGCAATGGTGGCTTTGGATGTCCATATCCCCAAAACTCAGTGAGTCTGTCAAATGTATATCAATCGCTCCTTTTCAAACCATGGGAGAAGGGCTCAGGACAGAAGAGAAGACCTATGTTAAATAGATCATGTCCGAAGGAGAGACGGGCCACAGAGGGACAGGTTTTGGCTAAATAGATCTTTGATTTTTTATTTTTTTAATGCAATTGTTTGCTTTTTCTCTAGGAACTGGATGATCCTGTAGGAGTATATGAACCGTGTGCCTTTCTGCAGCCACCTCCAAGACCTCACATATCACCGTCTATTCCAGACATCCCTCCAGCTTATGATATGGTAAGTTAGTTTATCCAAGCCTGCTGGAGTATTTGGATAGACACACACAGATATTCAGACTTCTTTGTCCCAGCTGTGTTCACATTATTGTTGCCACCTTCTTTCCTTTCAGGCTAACCCTCCTCCTGGCTTAGTTGGGGAACCCAGGTTATATCCCAAACCGGATTATGGTGAGTACTAGGTCAGTGTGAAATGCATTTAAGAAAAATTTCCAAAAACAGAACGTTTCACAGTATCCGTGGAAAAAAATATAGAAAACCTCGAGCGAATGCATTATTTATAAACCACTTTACTTTAGTTTGTAAAGAACAATAAAGTATGTTTGTTGCATTCATGTGTTTAAAATTGACTTTTAATCATACATTCATTCTCACACTGAAAACTTTGGTATATCAATATTCAGTGTAGGGGACTGCACACAACTAAATATTGCATGTAGACAATAATCGTATTATGGTTCCACTGCTCCAAACCCTGAAGGGTCGCTATGAAGAACAAAACATTATTTAGATGATTAACTTTTTTTTTGTAAATTTGCACTCAGGGATATCACAACTTCAGGGCATTTTATGCAAATTCCTGTATTTTACTTAAGTGTTCCTGGTACAGTACAATTGCGTCAATATGCACAATTTAATCACTTTAGCAGGATCCTTATTGTTGGTTCTCCATCAACTGCAACAGGGCTCTGCTTGTTAGCCCAATTCGTGCAGATTTGGGAAGATGGGAGGCCGAAACCTGGCAAATATACAAAAACCAGCAAACCGTACTAACTAAAGCAGGAAGTAAAAAATGCAACCTCTGTACCTTTTTATGTGGCAGTCTGTGCCTTTATATATGGCAGTTGTCCGAATGTAGTTTTACTAGTCTGTTTTAATGAAAAAATTACAAAAACAATTTGGTATATAGAAAAAAAGAGCGTGAGTAACAGCTGCTTTTATAATAATAACAAAGTGTTTAACCAGGAAAGGTACATTCAGATTGCTCTGGTTTCCAAGTACGTCCTGGGGATGTTACCTTTGCCCAACATCCAGGGGTTGTATAGACAGGTGCCCGCAAGTAAGAATTATAAGAAGGCACAGCCTTTCTACAGTATATGTAAATTAAAGGTCTTGCGGATAGTAATATGGAATTATGCTTAACGGTTTTAAAATAAATTAATGCTGAGTCTATTTCAATGATCTCAAATATACGGGAACTATCATATTGCTCCATCAGTCATTAACCATGATGCTCAGAGTAAAGGATGAGTAGACATTACTGACAGAAATGGGTCAGAGTGCTTTCTGATCTGCTTGGTAGCTCAGGGCCTCTCACCAGTTCCAAGTCCAGCTATTCTACATGAGATTAGTATGTAAGGATTGAAATGTAATTACAGCCCAACAATGCAACCACAATATTAAATATGACTGAATGTAGAGAGGACTATATGAAGTTACAGAAAACGATTAGTTATGTCATGCACACACTTATAGTGTCACATCATGGATGGCCACTGAGATAATGGGACCTATGTTGGTGATTAGGGTTAGCCAATGTTTAACACTTCAGGCCAAGCAGAATTATGTGCATGACGTTTAACACAGCTGGAAAGGTGCAGTTGCTTTGTGGAGAGAACATGGTCCGATTTGGTCCTGGAAGCAGAAGTACTAACCACTGACCAATATCTTGTACACTACCTTATTGGTAGAGTAATGTGCCAAGCAAAGGCTGGAAGGACTGGGCAGAGCTCGGAAAGAGCTCCAGCTGATTTGTCTGTAAGCATGCTTGCACTCTACACTTTCACTGACATATTGTCATTTCAGGTGGGGATTTTAACTCGCAAGATCAGTGGCAACAAAGGGACGTCAAAGATAGATATAATCATATGCCATTGCCAAAACTGCCATCTGCACCAGCTGACCTGCCTGCAACTGATCCCTCGCCATACGAAGATATTGACTTTGAAGACCTGTCAAAAAGACTGGATGACCTCAAAAAGAAGACGTGAAAGCTGCCATTATTTTGTATATTGCCTAAAGCTTTGTATTGAATCTCTGCGCCCTCATTCTGTTTCCATGTTTCAGTCTCTTGTTAAAGTATGTAATAATGCTACTTTTGATCACGTAATAAATAATATGCCATAAAATAGGCAGTTAAAGAGAAAAAGCTTATTAATATGTTAAGAGGAAATGTTTAATACAGCTCCGACGGGAGTAGTGCTTGTCATTATGCTTTTTAGAACCTTTGGTTGTTAAATTACAATTCCCATGATCCTTAGTCAGCATTGCACCAGCCATATACTGACTGAGCACTGTTGAAACGTTTCAACATCAGTTGAAGCACTATATAAAGGATGGTCTAAAGCAATTGCTGCAAGATAGTGTCAGTAGCAGAAAATTATCAAATTAGAATAAAAGTTTGTCAGCGTTTAAGAAAGGGCACAATTTGAGAACAAAAAAAAACAACGCAGTTTGCATTTGTTTCACATACTTGAAGAACTTTAGTTGAAAAAAGTTACATTTAAAATGAGGTTTATGGTTAATTGTTCCCCTACAGTGTGAGCTGCTGGGTTCCGAGTACTCTACACACAGCAGTTGGTCAGTCTGTCAGGATCACAGGCAGCAGCCTAATAGACACTGCTTGGAGGAGGGCACTCTCGATCAATGACTATATAGAGGCTCTTGGGGGTGATCTAAATGGCAATATCTTTTACACTAAAGGTCTATGGACATTAGACCTTTCCAAAGATTATATACTATGACACATCCAAGGTTATTTTATTCAGGATAGTTCACCTTTGTAGCGGTGAGGTAGTGGTAGCAGGGCTTCTTCTCTGCTGGTTACTTCAACAGTGCTCAGGAACAAACAGATTCAAGAAGGCAGGCATAAGCATAAGATAATCCACAAATATCCCATCAGCCTTCCCAATAACTGGACGACAGTATTAGGAGCAGAACTGAACTTTAAATGACCAGGCTGGCCTTTTATGCAGGTTTTGTCCAAAAGGTTACCACGGGTGGACCGTGTTGGGCACAGGTTAAAAACTGAAAACAACCAATACGCACAGAGTCAGGTAATAAGTCACTCCCATACAGTTCACACAATCCCTCCCCTCTGCTTAGGAGATAATTGAGTTAATTAGTGTATCAACCCAATTATCTCCAAACAGAAAAATCACAGTTTTTATACATTTCTAGAAGTACCCCAAAAACATATCATACTCCCACAATTCATACATCCCCTGGTAGCACTGATCTTGGGGAGCAACATACTGAAAAATCACCCAGATCGGTTCAGGGGTTCAACAGTTTTATGGAGGTCTTAGTTTTACTGACTGCACACGAGGTGTAAGCTGAAAATGGTTCCATGTGCTTGGGCTGTGCGGTCGGACTCTGTTCGAGCGTCTGAAATACATGAAAGTGCATAGAAACATGGTTCGTGCCTTGGTTTGTTCAACTCATCTCGTTCATGTGATTCCTTTCACCGAATGCCGTTCTGTTTCCCTGAGTTTACACGAACACGTGGCGGCGGCCATCTTAGAATACGAATTACACCAGCGGTGTTTGGTCGTCGAGTGTCTGGAACCCAAATTGGACATTCAAACTTACACAAGGATGGAAGTCTCTGCGGTGTTCGTGCCGTTGAGTGTCCAATTTGGGTTCCAGACCAGGGCCGGATTAACATAGGGGCTGATGGAGCTGCAGCTCCAGGCCCAGGCCCATGGAATAGGCCCATTGATTTAAAAAAAAAAATTTAAAATTTTTTTGAAAACACTACTCTTAGAGTTGCCAGGTATTTCTCATATATTTCTTAGGGTTGCCAGGTATTTCTCAGAAGTATTTCTCAGGTATTTGAGGCTGCCTAGCCGGTGCCGGTATTGCAGTAATACCGGCAATACAAAAGTCTGTCTCAGTATAAACAGAGATTGTTCTGCAATACCAACGCCGGCCAGTAGGCGTTGCTGTTTGTGTGGAGAGAGGCAGTGATAAGTTACAGCATCTCCCTCCCTGCCTCTCTCTATTCACTGAGAGTCCAGACAGCAGCTCCGAGATATGAGGAAACTGAGACATTGGGACACTGGGGAACATGGGGATCCTGAGACACTAGGGACACAGTGGCCCAATGTCTCCCAGTGGCCCCTAGTCTGTGTCCCCATGTCTCCCAGCCACTGTCCCTAGTGTTTTAGTGGCCCCATGTCTCCAGTGTCCCCTATATTCAAGGATATAATCTTTCAATGTAGGGTAATAACTGCTTGATCCAAGGATAAATCTGACTGCCATTCTGGGGTCAAGAAGGATTTTTTTTCCTAGCTTGTTGCAAAATTGTGCTTTAAACTGTTTTTTTTTTTGCCTTCTTTTGGATCAACAGCAAAAAACAAATGTGAAGAAGGCTGAACTTGATGGACGCAAGTCTCTTTTCAGCTATGTAACTATGTAACTATGTCTCTAAGTGTCCCCTAGTGTCTTAGTGACATGGGGACACAGACTCTAAGGGACACTGGGAGACATGGAGACACTGGGGCACACAGGGAGACATGGGGACACTGGGAGACTTTGAGACCTAGGAAACATGGGGCACTCCCAGTGTCCCCATGTCTCCCAGCCAGTGTCCATAGTATCTCAGTATCCCCATGTGTCCCTGGTGTCTCTCAGTGTCTGTAGTGTGCCAGTGTCCCTAGTGTCTCAGTGTTTCCTAGTCTCCCAAAGTCCCCTAGTCTCCCAATGTCTCCCAGTGTCCCCATGTCTCCAAGTGTCTCAGTGTCCCCTAGTATAAAAGAAAAAATCTCAGGCACTCACAGTGATAGATTTAGGTAGGTTTATTGGACACTGCAACATTTCGACCTGTACCCAGGTCTTTATCAAGTCTCAAATATCCCCTATGTATCAGTGTCCCCTATGTATCAGAGTGTCTCAGTGCCCCATGTCTCTCAGTGCCCCATGTCTCTCTGCCCGTAGTGTCTCAGTGTCTCCTAGTATAAAAGAAAAAAATTTCAGGCACTCACTGTGATAGAATAACGAATTATTTATTTTTAGTTTACATAAATTTTACATTAAATAACCCTCGTTTTTACATGACATTTACACTAATACCATTATATGTCTCAATATATTAATGCTGTATATTATTTTCTATCTTTTGTTTATGTATTCTCTATTTATATTTTGTACCGCCCTGATTGGTGATTGTTTTTTGGCGCCAATTTTGAATGTATGTATAAGCTATATATACTCCTTATGTGCCAGGTACTAATACTATTCCAATTTGATAAAGCCTCTACGGCGAAACGCGTTATTGGTTTTAATATATTGTATTAATAAATTATTTTACATATATTACCCTTTTATACTATTTTATCCTTATTTACTGTTCCTGGCATATCCTAATGTGGGGATCATACCACCCACGCGAATAATAGAGTGCAAAAAGGCCTGCACTCTACTTGTGAGTATATTTTATTTATCTTAACTTTTTTTGCTAACTACCTCACCAGAGAGCACTATTGGCTGTTTTTATTTATTTTCCTGAGAATTGGACACCAGCACTCTCCAGGAGGACAAGCACCCCTACAAGTGGAGGCTTATCCGCTGTATGCCCATCATACTAGAGCTGGTCCTAGCTCATGGAAATGTGAGTGTGAAATTTATATTTAATTTCACGATTACTTATCTATACACTCTGCACGACTGGTTCTTTCCCATTGTGTCTTTCATATCGTGAGACGGACGACTATTAACAAAGAAGACACCACACCAGTTGAGACACCATCTATAATTGGGACTCTTTTATATTACATTTCCAACAATTTTATTTGTGTAGAATTTATTTGTTTTATTTATCCCTTTTGGCGCAGCCTTTTTCTCTGTTTTTGTGTATACTCTTACTGTAGAGGGTTAGAGGGTGACCTCCTATTATGCTGCTGCCTCTTATTTATTTTATCCATTTTATTATTAGCGCTAACCTTTTTCCACTTTTTTACTCACTGTGATTGATTTAGCCAGGTTTATTGGACACCCCAACATTTTGACCTGTACCCAGGTCTTTATCAAGTCTCCAGTGTCCCCTATATCACAGTGTCTCAGTGCCCCATGTTTCCCAGTGTCCCCTCGTGTGTCACCTAGTGTCCCCAGGTCTCCCAGTGTTCCCTAGTATCTGTGCCCCCATGTCTCCCAGTGTCCCCGTGTCTCTCAATGTCCCCTAGTGTCCTAGTGACATGGGGACACTGGAAGACATGGGGACACAGACACTAGAGGACTGGGAGACATGGGGACACAGACATGCCCCCTTTCT